ACGTGCTTCCAATTCTTATTCTGAAATAAAATATTTGTTATTTTATCATCAGAAAATTATTTTCGTAGAATAAAATTTTCTCTGTTGACAGTAAAATAGTTCAGTTATTTTGTCTAATAGATCGGAACAGTAGTTTGATAGGATCTTATGATTCAAGACGAATTTCGATTTATACGATTTTAACTCAATTATCATCTGATGCAATACATATTTTATTATTAATATTTCATGTTAAGAAGTTTTATTTAAGTTATCAAAGGAAATAAACTGCTGACATGAAAGTCATTGAAACATCACATACATTATTTGATTTTAAAATACGTCGTACTCTAAAGCAACACGAAGGCTATTGGCAACGGGACTCGTAATTTTGAACAGCCTTCAGGTGACAAAATCGACACATAAACTAGCACTCTCTTCCGCAAACCGTATTGGTCAAGGTATCGCATCGTGGCTGGCTTGTCACGAGTTCGAGCCCAGTACAACTAAAGACCCACCGTGTAGGGGCGAGATGCACATTAAATCTGTCGAGAGCTTAAACGTCCTTCCGTTGGTGTGGCTTGGTAGTTAGGAGAGGGGTTACCAGCCCAGGTGTCGTCCACGTCACTTGACCATAGTTCAAAATTACGAGGTCTGTCGCCAAAAGCCCTCGTGTATCTTAACAGTGTGACGTTAATATTCACTCACTCGATCATGAAAGCTCATTAAAACTACTATAACTTGGGACAAAATATGACAGCTTTGCCAGCAAATAACATTTCTGTAATATTAATGAAAAGTGTCTCTGATTTGCGTCCTTTATTAAGGTCTTGTTAGTTCAGTTTTATTGAATTTTTTCTCAAATCATCAAAGAAAAATTTAATAGTCCTAGCGTGTCCGCATTTTAAGCTCAATATTGTAGGCTTGACCCCGGCGGTAATCGATATACTTTCTGGATGCGAAAATCGTAGGTACGCATGTCATATTACAGTGTGGCATGTAAAAGATTCCTTGAGTATCAATTTGGCTCTGGTACCCTTAGAAAAATTAAATCACAGCAGCATTTAGCATCCAACGAGAGCTTGAAATGAATAAATTCTAGCGTCAAAATTTGGTAGTTAGAGCCACCATGAAATGGCTTTCACATTTGGGGACTTGCAGTAAGTGTAAAAGCTTAGTTGCAAACATGTAGCCTATTAAGGAAAAAATGTTCTCAAGCACTCTGGCAGTAATCCAATGTTTGAAACAGCCACGAAAAAGTCAAAATAGGCATAGAAATGTGACCATTGTGGTGCAAAGTTGCGAGGTTCTCTGCCAGCAGTCACATGACTCCCTATAACGATGGTCTTACAAGCTGAAGGAAGCAGTAATATTGTTCATTAAATCTACAAAAGTGTAATATAATTGCCTTTAAATCTTCATATTCTCTATCAACTTTATATAGTTAAAATACAAAGTAACAATAATCAATCACAGAATATAGATAATTAATTATTTACTCCCTTTTGTGAGAATTTCTACCATTTATTCGCAGAAAATACTTAATTCAGTTTGAGATTGGCTTCCAAAATAAATCTTTCTCTAGGTTTCATTTCGTATTATTTGAACGATATTCTTTTAATGCAATGTGATTTTTAACATTTCTGAAATAAAAACGATCACGCGAAATATCCATTTGGGATTTTTTCTTCTTGTAGTATTACATTTATCTTGTTTTGGAAAACGAAACTTTTAAATAGTTTTGAAAACTCTACCGGAATATCTTTCATGTAGTTTTTTTTTAATGAAAAATTGTTTTTTTTTACGTTCTGTATAATACAATTTATAGTCATTTGGTGATTTAACTCGTTTTGAAGTTCAATGCAACTTTTTATAGAAAAATTGTAAAAAAGATGAATATATATACAGTGGGTGATCGGTTAACGAACATAATCCGTCCCAAGACTATGCTCACTATCCGAATTGTTCGTAAACCGATCATCTATTCACCATAGACTTCTATGTGAAATCGATTAATTCGTTCTGGAGACCCTAAAAATTAAATTTTAAAAAATGTATAATTTCTTAGTAAGTTTTTTAAAAAATAATACATACATATAGTCTTGCAGATTAATCAGACATTTTCATTTTTTGTTTATGGGGCGTTGAAGAACATGTCCAATGTCGATTGCTTTTCTCTCTTTTTCAGGATTTTCCAGAAGTAATTAATAGCATTGTTGTTGTAAAGATCCCCAACCCTACTGACATCAGCTTGGTTTGGGTGCCATTCTAAGACCATTGCTCTGACATCCGCCCCCCTTTTCAAAAGATCTTTAATGGCAGATGTCGGCATTGGTCCTCTTTCGCCTTTCTCTTATTTAGAAGGAGACACATTTCGTTGTGTTTCTTGCTGTTCTTCATTCAAAATTTCTTACAGTTCTTCTGTCGTCAATTCATCTTCATGTCCCATTATGAGCTCTTCTATGGCATCCTCGTTCATCTCCAATTCCAGATCTCTAGCAGTTGTCAAAATTTCATCCATAATTTCAAGGGTGTATCCCTGATCACCTCCGAATATGTGTTCGTTGTCCAAACACAAAAAATCTTTCTTGAAAGTGTTCGTTATCCGAACACAAAAATCTTTTGTGAAAGTGTTCGTTAACCGATCACCCACTGTATATATATATATATATATATATATATATATATATATATATATATATATATATATATATATATATATCATAACATTGTTATATATTTCTTAATGTGTAAAATTATTCAAACCACTTTTTTAAATTTTCATTAGACCATCATGGTCTTTTCTAAAAAATTGTTGTAATTTATATTTCTCTATTTGTATGTATTTATGTATATATATATATATATATATATATATATATATATGTGTACATATATGTACATATATATACATATGTGTGTGTGAGAGAGAGAGAGACAGAAATAGCTTGAACATTACAGATAAGAGAATCAAACAGGTATTGGAAACATAAAAATAAATCTCTCTCTCTCTTTCTCTCTCTACATATAGATATATCGTGTACTGGAGTGTGGTAAGGATTTCCTTATCGTTGATCATATATTTCGGTTTTGATGTGAATAGAGTTGTATTGATGAGACATCCTTTTTAGTTGGTAATCCAGTTTATTGTATATTTAAAAACAAACACAAATAAATATCTAGACGCCACTTAACGAATAGCACAAAAAAAGACACGCGTTTCACATTACAAGAAGTGCTGCGAATTTTCCAGATAGTCTCGGTTTTCATATGAAACACAAACCGGAATTTCCGAAATTCACATGACTTCCGTGGACGGATCCCGTGATTGGTGAAAAGACATCTTATGAGGATGTCTTGTGTAACAATACTTTAAATACGCTGAGATTTTAATTTTTAAAAGATAAAATCACGATTAAATCCCGTTATGCGAGCAAACTACAGTTAAATATTTACGGCCGAGTCTTGAAGGTTCAAGGCATAACAAATTAAAAATTCCTTAAGATCAGGATGAACCTCTCAGTTCATGGGAGATTTACGAAAATTTTATATTATATATGAGACACACACACACATAAACAGGAAATGTTACGTTATTTTTCAAAATTTTACATAAACTTTTACAGTTAAATATTTATTGAAAATAGATTGATGATAAAAGGAATTTTATTCAATGAATATAAAGAACTAATTTTGGCTCTTATAATGTTCATTTGATTCACTATGATATGAGAGGTAACGTGTACGCTAATTTCTTAAGAAATAATTCGAGATATGTTTATTAAGTTCATAATTTCAACAACATGAAAAAAAAACTAATGTTCATCTTTACAACTGATACTTTCACTTCTCTTTAAATAATTCCTCATGAAACGAAACAATAATTGACTTAAATAATTGAATAGGGCTTAAGAATAGCTTAATTTATCACATCAATCAAAAATACATCAATGTTTCACTAAAGCATTATTTATATCTAGCAAGCCCGAAAATATATGTAACTGTGAATATCAAAACTAACCACAAATTGTAAATCTTAAAATAATAACATTTGTAAGACTAGAAACACTTTACCACTTGGAAGCTTCAATGTTTAACTATTTCGGGTTGAAGTCATTCATTCGTTTTAATTAGCATCGTGATACATTCTTCCTAATTTACAAATGAATTCAATTGAATAACACATTGTCTAGTGCAATCTTACTATACCAATCTTTTATAACATGTGAAGTATTTTAATTAGCATAATTTATAAAGTTCCTTACAAATTACTTCAGACTAATAACACATTCTCTCTCTCTCTCTCCAGACTGTGCAATTTCGGTAAATAAGTGTGCTAAAGCGAACAATAGGTTCAATTTATCCGGGAATGAATCAGCCTTTTAAATTGATGAACAATAAATTTCTATTCACAATATTAAAATTTGGATAGTAACTCTTCCCTTTTCTTTCTTTATTAACAGAGCATTAACTATAAAATGAGTGTTTTATATTAAGTAGTTTATCCAATCGTATTGGTCTGGTTTCATTTAAATTGCACACTACAGCAAAATGAAAGCTGTTGTGTGGCTATGAATCGCATATTTTTTTCAATTCCTACTATTATCGCACTTTCTCCCTTTATATATATATATATATATATATATATATATATATATATATATATATATATGTGTGTGTGTGTGTGTGTGTGTGTGTGTGTATGTGTGTGTGTGTATGTGTGTGTGTATCTCTTGTTCAAATTTTCAATCGTTCATAAAATACTTTCTATTCATCCATTCAAGTTCAAATCCATTTTTTAAAATTTGTAGTGGATGACACTTGATGTTAATACAGTTTTTTTTTCAAATATTTATTCATAAATGATAAAATTAATAAATAGTAACAAATAAAACCAACAGCATATATATAGAAAGGAAAGATAAATATTAATTTCAAATATTAATTCATAAATGATAAAATTAATAAATAGTAACAAATAAAACCAACAGCATATATATAGAAAGGAAGACGTACTTTGTGTCCCTGTAGCGCAATTGATAGATAGGGACGTTGGACTTCTCATTCAAAAAAGTCGTGGGTTCGAATTCCACCTGGGATGGCCTAATTTCTGAGAATATGTGGGGTTTTTTTACTATACTATTTTATTAGAGTAATTAAATTTTATTAATGAATAGATAGTAACAAACAAAAAATAGTTCAACACCCTCTATAGAAATGCAAATGGAAAATTGCAAGAAAAATCGCTCTTCATTTGGTCGCTTAATGCTGTGATTCTGTTATATACGTAGAAACATATTTATATTAATTGTAACTATTTAATAAAATTAGCTAAAATAATTTTTTTTGTTGTCCTTAAGTAGAAATTGATTTTTTTAAAAAAAAATATTTCTTGTTAATAGAGTTAATTAACAAAAGGCAATATCTCATTCTTCTAATTTACACATTACTTGAGAGGAATTTGAAGCCTAGTGTAATTAACGTTCAACTGTCCCAATTATTTTACACAACAGGTCAATGGAATCAAGACTCGAATCCATGGCTCAATTGAATTATCAACAGTTTCGCGTGGGTGAGTATTTATTAACGTCGCAACATAAAGCAACACGAGGGCTGTTGGTGACGGACTTCGTAGTTTTGAACCATTTTCATGTGACGGTATTGGAAAAGTGATGAGTAGCGTGAGACTTGAGAAATTAAATTATTGATTTATTACGTCAACAACAATTAATTACAATATTTACAATTAGATACAAGTTATTCAAACCATTGAGTATTTTAATACTAAATAATATTTTATTAGGGACGAAGGAGGCAAAATACAAAACCTCTTTCCGAGTGTTTCAAGCGGGCTCCCTCATCACTATCTTGGGGGAGAGAAAGGGGTCTCTTCTTAAGGTCTTATCACACGTACATATTTGGAGCAATTTTCCAACCAATTCGGAACGATTTCTACCTAGTTGCCATAGCAACGGCTCCGAACAACGCAGCTAAAAAAGTTGCTCCAAATAAAAGTTGCTCCAAATAAAAGTTGCTTGAAATTCAGGCCAATGGGGCAGCCTCGGTTTCATCAAGCGCATCAGATATGGCGTGTAATATTTTAACGGCTTATAATATTTTAAGCATAATGGTGATCCATTTCTTTTTGCACCCATCAACAAAAGCGCGAGCGAAACAAAAGAAATAATATTGGATGTTCATTTTCCGAAGCAGAAAAATCAGTGAATAATTTATCAATGTGGAAATAGAGCGCGGCTGATGTCAGAGCATGTCGTTTTGCTTACGGCAACCCTTCACCCTCAGCTTCGTGAAAAATTATCCTAAACAGTTGCTCCAAATATGCGCGTGTGATAAGGCCTTTACACCTCGAATTTCACTCGATGTTCGGCTAGCAGTTGGAGTACTCTTATTCTGATGGACATGGGTTATCGATGCGAGGTCAGATGAAAGGTCTTCGCAATATTTTAGGGGTGCAAGTGTGGATATGAACAGCGCAGTGCTATCTGCATAGGGAAGTCGATTTTACAGCTGTGAGGCGAGGAAACATTCTATGACATCTCAGCTGGAACTCCCTCTCCAAATGACCTCATCACGCCAACGAGAGGATTTTGAACCACGACAGATTTAACGTGCATCTGCTCTTCTCAACGATGGGTCTTCAGTAGCAGTAGGCCACGAACTCATGACACGCCGGCCGCGAGTTCGTGACCTTAACCACCAGGTTCCTCGGCCTCACCGATAGTCACGCGTTCTCGGCAATGTATAATCACTAGGTTACATCGCACTTCCATTGCATGAATTACTTCTTTATTTTATTTTATAGCAAATTGAAATATGATGATTTTACTCTCATTAAAAAAATATATAATCTTTAAGAATCTAAAACTTAATTTAAAGTTTTGATAGAAAAAAATACTTTTACTTAATTACAATAGTTAAACTTTTGCACTATATTTAGACAAAATGCATCATTTTTTAAATAATACTGAGTTTACTTGCTTGTTAGTTTAATTGAATTAATGTGAATCTTTCAGTTCTTTCAAGATATGTGTTACATTTTATTAGGTTAGAGTTATATTTGCGTCGCATTATAAAGCTACACGAGGGTTATTGGTGACTGATCTCGTAATTTTGAACCATGGTCAAATGAGAATGACACCTGAGCTAACACACCCCTCTAACAACGCCCAGACCACACCAACGGGAGAACATTTCAGTGACAGATTTACGGCCGCCTTCATACTGCAGGTCTTCAGCAACACATGCTCGAACTTATGACATGCCAGTCACGAGTCTGTTTCCTTGACCACTAGGCTACCACAGTCACTAGTTTTTAAAATGATACAAATGTTTCAATTAAGACTGTATCACGATTAAATGGCATGGATGACTTCCGAGTTGATTCTTCACCCGCCAAGTCAAAAACAATTTTTCATTTCTTACTGATTTTACATGCGCTTGTTATAGATCTATTGAGAGATTATTGAAATTAATATTTATTTACCTTTTTGAATATGCATTAAGATTTTTTATAAGATTTTTTTATATTAGTATCCAATAATTATATTAATCTAATCACTATATATATACATAAATAATTATATCACTACACAAAGATAAGATTAATATAATTAATAACCTTCTGTGGCACAAACTAAATTAACTATGTTTTGTTTTCAAATCAAAGTATTCAATATCATAATTTTTTGAAGTCGCCTTTAACGTAGCCTACAAATAAAACTATTTCCCGAAATGTTTGAACACAAAATTTAAGCAGTATAATGAGATTTAATTGGAAATGTACTACACGAGACAATATTGTGGTGCTGCACGGTCGTTGTCTGTATTATTATTCCAACGCATTTGTTAAGATAGTGGCAACACCACCTTTTCTATTTTAAAAACTCGCATCAACATTTTCAACATCACAACAACCCGTAACGCCAGGTTTGTGGAGAATTCTTGCATTTTATAAAGGTGGAATTTTAAGGTTCTATTAATAAACTTATTGCTTAAATTTTTGGCTTTTTCCTTATTTGAACACGTTTTAGCCACTTTGCCTTAATTTTCACCCCATTATAATCTATTGGCGAATTATCTCCTAGTTTTGAGCCGCGGCAAAGTGAAAATTTGCATTAAAGGAAGCAATTACATCATACAAAATAAGCTTTAATGAGTAGGTTATTCATAATTACATAAACATATCTACATAACATGTTCATAGGAAAAAGCATTTTAAGGATTTTGTTGCCGAAGCAAGGACTAGTTTGCAGTTTTACAAATAAGTATTAGAATTATAATCAAATTCCCAAATTCTTTTTTACATGAAATCTCAATTTGTATAGTTCAATAAGATTATGTACAATCAATAATGTAAGGAAAGAAAAAAATCATAATTTTTTTTAAAAAAACATCAACGATTGAGGTATAGATGAAAAAAAATTTAATCAGTTAAACTTTAAAACTGTACATTAAAAAACTCAAATTACTGATATTTCTGTATATATGTCGGATAAATAAAAAAAGCATTTATTTGAAACTTTTTTTTAAGATCTAGGGGATATTTCTATCTTTCTATATTAATTATAACTAAAGAGGATTCTTAAATATATCTTCAGAAATCTATTTCTGTGCATTAATAAGGCAGAAAAATTGACTATCCAAATTGTCATGTAGTACATCTTTATTTCATCTTTAAGAAGCAAGCTTCCGAATAAGAAATAAAGCATTAACTACACGTAATTAAGCTACCTGGGGCACTTACGACTAAACTCTTTATTTCTAATGAGTTCCCAGTTGACACTCTTCTGTTTCGACACTTGGTTTGTAAAGGTGTTGAAGAAGACTCATTAAAGAATGGCAATTAATCTAATTCTCCATCTTCTTTGTCTCTCATTAACTTGGTAGAGGAACGCACTTCACTGAAAGTTCGCCTCTTTACGTGCATAGTTTTAAACAGATCAAAATTCTTTCCTATTTTCGCTGGTGTTATTTTTAGATTTATCGACAACGGCTTCATTACGAGAAGAACTTTTAAATTGGCAGTGTTACAAAATAATTCTGAGTTGAGTAATTTGAGCCACCCATTTTACGAGTGATAAACTTTGTAAGGGCTATAAAACATTTAATTAAAACTATTAGGTATCATTTTTTTTCTAAAAAATGTTGTCATTTTGATAAATTTTGTAACAATGTAATGAACAAAATGATTTTTTCAATTCCTACTATTAGTTAACTCTCTCCCTGTATATATATATATATATATATATTCATATTTATCTTGTTCAATACTTCAATGGTTGATAAAATACTTTCTATTTATCCATTCAAGTTCAAATACATTTTTTTAAAATTTGTAGTGGATGACTCTTAATAAAGTTTTTTCAAATTTTAATTCATTAATTAAATTAAAAAAATAATAAATAGTAACACACAAAAATAATAGACCAACAGCATTATAAAAAGGAAAATCGTTCGCTGTGTCCCTGTAGCGCAATAGATAGCGCGTTGGATTTCTAATCCACAGGTCGTGGGTTTGAATCTCACCTGAGATGGCCTAATTTCTGAGAATGTGATTTCTCTTTTACTACACTATTTTATTAGAATAATTAAATTTAATTAATGAATAAACAATAATAAACAAACAAACAAATAGTCTAACACCCTATATAGAAAGGAAAATGGAAAATTGCAAGGAAAATCCCTTTTTATTTTGTCACTTAATATTGTGATTCTCTCGTATATGTATATACATATTTATATTAATTGTAACAATTTAATAAAAAGTAACAAAAATAAAATTTTCCTTTGTTGACCTAAATAGGAATTGACTTAATTTTCTTTATATTACTTGTTTTTGTTTTGTTTATCACGACAATTTAGCTTTTTTTTTTTACCGTTTCAAATATATAATACGCTTATACTCGAGTGTAAAAAATGGGCAATATTGTTAGGTCTATTATTTAAATATATATATATATATATATATATATATATATATATATATATATATATAATAGGATGTTGTATGTATATTTACTATAAAATTAAATATTTTATTAAGCATTTTAATATTTTACAAAATTAATATGATAATATCTGCTTCAGAAGCAATTAGCGCTAAATTATCATAAAGAATGGAAAAAAACCCTTACTTTTTTTAAGTAAAATAATTACTCTTTTCATATTAGTCTGTGAATGTCTAATTATATATATTGCATTCCGTTTTAATAATCTAAGATTTTTTTCTGTAATTAGCATTCAATATGATTTAAGATATTGAAATGCTTTATACGAATTTTGCGATTTAAATTTTTTGTCACTGTTACAATGAAACATCTTTAAAAAAATATGACAAATTTTAAGAGAAAAAAAATTGTCATGAGGCTTAAATCACAAACATCAAAATAATTTTAGAGATTTTAATCAAGCTTGAAAACACACACAGTACTATTTTCAAAAATTTGTATTCTTATTTAATAATAAAAATAAACTGTATTATTGAGTAGTATACAGTATTTCACAAAAAAATAATAGCTATGAAAAAAATAATATAGGTAAACAAATTTAAGGAATCAAATTTCGAATGCTAAAGAAGTACGCTTTGGGTGTGTGTGTGCCCCAAATTTTAAATTCATCTTATTTTCCACAATGACTTCACTAAATAACTTCAGAAAAAGTAAATAAATAAACCTTAACTATTATAATCTTTTAAAAAAGTGCTTTGACTATTTTTTGCCCCTCAGAATAACAAATGAGAGTTTTGAAGGTTTCGAGATAAACATTTTGGGAATGTATTATAAATAAATGAGGAATGGACAGCAAAAACTGTTATATACATTAGGAAGTTAGGATTCGGAAATTCTGGAGTAAAAAAAAATAAAGCGGAAGTTTTACTTTTGTGTTTTAAATGTTGAAAACAAAAAAAATGTTAGCGTGGGACCTTTTGATTATCTTTATAAACTTGGTACATGCTTTAGGACATGCTGCGTATATTTTATACTTAAAAAAATAAAATAATCAATGAAATTTTAAAATAAAACAGTATTTTCCTCCTTTACAAAAGAATACAGTTCTTTTTAATAAAATGAAAAATTATGTAATAATTTTTGATTGTACATTATTATGTGTTGATTATATTTAATTACACACTATAAATGTAACTTTTTTAATCATACTACATCCATTAATACTAAGTTTTGATTATATATGACTATTTAAAAACTATAGTAAATAAATGATATTACAACACATAAATTATAATATTCAATTAATTATTATTTATGGTAAAATTGTTATGGCTTACAACTATAAAAAGCAATTAAAATTATTCAGTGTATATCATTAGTATTTTATACATCCCTTGGCGAATTTTTTTTTTTCCATAAATTATTAGAACACTTCCAAAATAATTTTTAAGTAGCATTTTTGTCTTTTAATTTATTTCTTTATAATGGAAAACCATGAAGTGAATTTATTCATTTTTGTGATAATTATAACAATTGAATAAATTTCTTTACACAAATCTGTATGCTCTATTTTTATGTAATATATTTAGACACTAACTTAGTAATATTCAACAGTTTTAAATCAATTTACGCGAGATGAAGCTATAAAGTCCGAATAAATATGATTCTTTGTCTGTTACTTTTGTTCACACACACACACACAGATGAAAAATACTAAAAAAATATCTTCAGATAAAGCATTTGAATGTAATGCAATGATTATAAAATATTGACACAAGCAACCTATGTAATTATCTATGTTTTCCGTTCTATATTCTGTTTCAAGAACGGGGCTGCGCTATTTTAAATACATTGATAAAAAGATAATTCTGACACAAAAAAAGCAAATTTTTTGGACATAATTAAATATAGATATTTATAGTATGGTATTTATGATAAAATCGGGTCCTTTAATTTTCCTTTTTTTAACTAAACCATTTAAACAAATTAAAACCTTTATGGATAACTAATATCCACACCTTAATTATAGAAACATTATGCTTATTACTTACAAAGAAATAATAATCTCCTTGACCATCATAAAGGAAATTTCAATAATTATAAAAAAAATCTAAATACTGTTTAGAACATGATTATCCTGCTAACTTTGTACATACTAATATGTGATGGTGAATTTTCAATAAATATACATGTGTGTATTACTCTTTCATTGAAATTAAATAAAAAAAATATTAGAATGCGAAATTCGAAAACTGATACCTAAAACCTTAATATACGATAAATAATCTAAAATACACATTATTTCTCAAGAGGAAAATTTTTAATTTTGGATGATTATTTCTAGAAGTCCTGGGAAGATTTTAATGAAATTATATATGCATATATATATATATATATATATATATATATATATATATATATATATATATATATATATATATATATATATATAACTAGTTGTGGTATATACACACACTCATCTACCGCTCAACAACGCAGGTAAATCTAAAACAGGGGGAAAAATACGTTTAAAAGGAGTATGGTCCCCTTCTATAGTTGGAAAGTTTTCACAAAGTGAATTCATGCTGGAATTGAGGCAGTTCATGACTTCCTAAGCAATCTGGCCAAATTTTCCAGGCACATTAGTTTCACACTCTAGTTGAAGGAGAGAGATGAGTAGCAAGTAATATAAAAAAAAATTAAGTCAATTCCTACTTAGATCAACAAAGAAAAAATTTATTTTTTAGCTACTTTTTATTAAATAGTTACAATTAATATAAATATGTAATTAAGTGGTAATTAGTTTTTATTAATTATCATTAAAGTATCGTATTGTCATCCAAAACGATGGTGTATATCAAATTTCAGTTCAACTGAATACTTTAAAACGAGAGAAAAAAAACCTTTTCAAGTTTTGACACAAGTCGCCAAAAGGGTCGCTAAGTCACCAAAAACGATGCCAACGTGGCTGTAAATGTAATTCTTTAAATAATTAGTTTTAATAAAATAATTTTTATTAATTATAATTAAATTATTGTATTGGCATCCAAAATAATTATATATTTAAAATTTCAGCTCAATTGAACGCTTTAAAATGTATTTGATTAACAATCAAAAATTCTACCAAGATAAATAAATATATAGAGTGTAAGGAATTGTAGGAATAATAGAATGTATGAATAGTAGAATGTGTAATAATAGGAATTGAAAAAGTGTCCCAAACAAGGAGTCTTGGACAACAGTTAACAGGGAGTCCCAAACAGTTAAAATCTTTAACCACATATTTAACCTGCATGGCGAATATTCTCACTTTCCAGAAATTCATGAACTTTAGTGGATTCATCAGCTGTATGCGGACAGTTACTGATATCCATAAAGACGAAGTTTGGGTCAAATGCATCCCCAAAAAGGTGAAAATAAGGCTTCATGACTTCACTACTATATCTAATGATAGTTAAAAAACCTTTGCCATAGGCATGAAGTTCTGTGCTTTTTTTATTATGATTCGTGCTTGGATCATCATATCTTCACTGCTATACCGGTCTCTTTCTTTGATGTCAAGAGAGAATTTACAATTCTATATAAATATATATATATTTTAAATGTTATAGACATTTCACTACAGCCATCATATATTGGATTTTCTATATAATCCATTTATATATATATATATATATATATATATATATATATATATATATATATATATATATATATATATATATATATATATATATATATATATATATATATATAATGCATGCTAAAAAGCATTTTCCCATTTCCGAAAGGGTAAACCAAATAAATATAAAATTTTTCTCAATATATCAATAGCCGAGCATTTAAATATGAAAACTGTAAAAGGAGATGTCTAAAACCAATTCGACATATTTTATTCATGCTGAAAATTCACTTACTGTTTCATCAATAATGGGACTGTAGTGATTTTTAATAGTTTGGAGCAAACTTTGAAAGTAACTTTTGAATTTTGCAGCAAAATGAACAAGTAGTTTTATCTTAAAAACCATTTCGATATTTTCTACCGAAAAAAAAACTCAGCTGTTATCAGATTTCTTTCCTTTTTTTTTTTGTATTATTCTATTTTAGATGTAGTTACGTAAACCTTTTTTATTACATTTTGTCAATATATATGTATATATATAGTGAAATGATTTATTTTATTTATTCATTTACTATTTTAATATAAACCGGACTGAATGTGAAATGAAATAGGTAATGATAAATTATTGCCTGAAAATTATACTTAAATAAATGCTCCACATGTTAAACTCTACACATAAAGGGCAAACCAAACAAATATGAAAATTTTTCACCCCCCCCCCCCCAAGAATAGGATTATTTAAATACGAGACCTTAAAATAAAACCTCCTTGTTACCCCCTATTCTCTTGTTTGCGTTCTCTACTGATCTATTCCTGTCTTGTTTAAGCAGAATCTCATCTTGTTGCAACGCTTCATTCTCTAGCCGGACTAACCGAACCGTTGTTTCCGGACCATCCAGGTGGGCATCCTGGCGTGGCGTGCGGGTGGTCGGAAGCAGTCTAGGCAATCTCATTACGTCGAAGA